CAATCTCAAATACACTGGCAAATATTTAAACTTGGTTTTTTTCCCCACCCCTGAAATAAAACTGCTATAAAAGTTGAACAAAAGAAGTCTTTAGCATTTTGAGGGCCAAGAGAGTACGTAGGCTAACCATCAATTTTAAAAAAGCATTGTTTTAATGTCATTTTAAATAAATGTTTATCATTAAAAAGTGGGTTAAATAACCTAAATTTAAATCAGTGAAAGCCAACACAATGATTCAAAATTTGCCTCCATAGAAACATTTAAGAAAGGGCATTTTCATAAATTTAAGTCATTCACAGACTTTTTTTGCAAATTTATGTTTTAATAAGATATAATACATATCATGAATGTGTTTTCTGGGGCTCAGGGCTTAGAAAGCATAAATACAGAAATATAATGAAATGAAAAATAGGTCACATATATTATAGCGCTAAAAATTCGAACGTCTCACTTGTGGTTGAGATAACTATTTCAAAATCTGGAGGTAAGTAAATAAGCAATTAAAAATGCTCTGCCAAAAGAAATCCACATTTTGATGAAACAGTAAAATAGAAAGATTTCCAGTACTGCACAAAACCTAGGAAAGAAAAATATATCTTTCCTTTGAGAAATATACCTACTTATAAAGCACAACAATGAATTTCAGTTGTTCTTGTAACCCAGTTCCTTTAATCTGCATAAGAGATGCTGACTGAGTTCACTCAACCAAATCACTACTGGCTTTCAGAATACAATCAACACATGCTTTTCAACAGTATTAATATAGCATGAAGCTTGTGCTCCTAATTATTCATGTTTTTGCATTCTGTTTTTCCCCCTGCTGTAAAATATGCAAATTTACTTCTTTGTGTTATTTAGGTCCCACATGGGCCTCAACAGATCAGCTTGGAAGGAATTACAAGCCAACATCTAGATACATGCTGTCAACATTTCAAGCTTCATTATTTTTATTAGACTGGAATTCCATTATAAATTTGATATTAGGCTTTAAAAAGCTTTTTATACATCTGATGAAAACCTACAGTCTAATAAAATGGTGTACTGATAATTACCATTGCTCGACTTTCTGTGCATCTGTGTGTGTGGGCATATGAAGGAGACAGAGAAAAGCACTAGAACTACAAGATACAAGAGAAATCACCATCTAGCGGTACTACTGAAAAATGCAGTTTGTTTTTGTTTAAAATTAGTACCCAAGAGGATTAGTTTGACTTCATTACTGAATGAAGGGTAGCCATTACCTCCTTATGCAACTAAAGATCAGTAACAGGATAGGTCTGTTTCTTCTCTTTCTGAATTCTCCCACTCCCTTTTCAGTCAACTCTGACTGAAAAATTCAGTGCCCAGATGAGCAACCATCTCTTTTTTTCTGCAGAGAATGCAGTGATTTGAAAAACAGGCTGCTTAATATAATCAACACACTCTCCTCAACAGTATTAATATAGCATGGCATGCACCAAAACATTTACTTACACTGGCATAGGTTAATGCATATATTCTTTAGAAAAAAAAAAGTATATATATATATTTTAGATTTCTCCAAAAATCTCAGATTGTCACAAAGTTAACATTAAATATTTTCAAACCTTCACAAGAAAATGAAATGGAGCTTGCTTATTGGAGAACTGCAGGGTTGGAAATAGCTATGCAAACACTAACTCTAAATGCAAAAAAAACCAAAAAAGCAAAAAAACAAATAAAAACCCTTAAACCCATCAATGCAGAAAATAAACGGACACTGAAACCTTCTTTTCTTCAATGGGCACTAAGCCTTGTGTATTTCTTAAATGCAACATCATATTATTTTAAAATACTGCAGCATTCCAGTCTTCGTTACTAGCACCACTAGAAGCTTCTTAAATATTAATGGCATGACAGTGTAAAGGATTCTACTACAGATTACTATCAAGTCACAGAAAAAACAGCAGCAGCAACACTGAGGTCTTACACATCTCTTGGTGCATTTCCCCTTTGAGGTACATGCATGCACGAGAGAAACCAAACAGCTATTTGAATTGCAGTAATAAAGCAATAGGGATGCAGTCCTTTGATTTAGAAGGGTCAGTACATCATATTTCCTTTTTAAAACAGACTTAATTCTTGAAGATTTTAAAACTGCAAATTTATCTCAGAAGCAAACATTTAAAAAGTTCTTCAAAATATACAGACGTATATTATTGACATTACCATATAAACAGTATTTTACTTGTTATGTACTTACATATCAGGAAACAACTAGGTGTACTTTAATTCATGACACAATTTATCCAGTTCTTCTACAACAGAAAGCACCCCAAAGTATATTTGTATGTGTAATACATTAATTGGAACACAGAAATGGACGGTGGGGGGAACAATACACGAACTGCTCTTCAGAAAAACAAAGCCAAGATTTCCAAAACTAAAGTTGACTGGTGCTGATCATTTGACTTTTTCATATCTTCATCACAGAACACTTCCTGATTAAGCCTGTTAAAGCTGAGCTGGGTCACTGCCACTAGACCTGCTCTGCTTTCCTTACTCACGCAGCATAGGACAGTGCCCCTCAGTGCTGAGGTCTCTGCCTCGGCCTGTCTGCCCTCACATCACCTTCCCTCCCCTGCAGGTTCACCTGCCTTGGGGTGCAGCTGCCCTTCCTGCTCCTGCACACCTGGCTTATTTCAAATTTTGCTGGAAGAATAATCAAGACCTTGCACATCAGCATCTTAAAATATACCTGAAAACAAAACGAACATTGAACAGTAGTTTTGGTAGAGCACATACAGGGCTCCATCCAGAACCACCCAAAATTCAAACCATATCTCTGAGAACAATGTTTGCAGAGTTTCTGTTGCTCACCAAAAATACATGAAAACAGCACTGCTGCCTCAATTTTTCAATTCCTGATTTTTGACAAAAATTAAAACTACAGATCACATCTTTGTTAACTGATGGGAGATTTTTAACTGTTCAAAACCAACACACTAGCATTAATGTGTCTTCTTCCACACAGCTACCAAGAATAATCAAAATGGATGGTAGACTGGAATTCATTTTGCAAATAAGTTGTAATTTGATTATTTCTTGATAGGTCTCTCTGAGACTTTTAGCAGGGTTCCTGAAGGCCCTCATTAACGGTGCATGGTATGAAAAACCTTGAAAAGGATTTGTGACAGGCAAGCTTCTCCTGACTACAACAGTGGAAATCAGAAGTAAGCATTCTCTGAAGATGTGTTTTTTTCCTCTTCTTTTTTTCTCCATGAAAGAGAAGCAAAATGCTTCCTCCCTTCTCCAAGGAGTATTAGTGAACAAGGTTGTCATTTTTTTTTTCTCCTATATGCTTCAAATGAAAGACTGGGTTTAGAAACCAACCTGAATCACACAACATTTAGCTCTGATCCCCTTTTAAGACTGTTCACTGCCTAAGGCAGTATTCACACTTATAACCTGACGATGCAGTCATAAGAACAGCTTTCCTATAATTACTACTTCAGTACTGATGTTCCAGAATGCTTTACATCTCATTTTTAAAAGTTTCAATACCTCCCATCCAAGCAATAAAAAACAAACTAGGAGAATAACTATTCCTAGACAAAATTTCTACGTAAGTATCTACTAACCTATAATTCTCCAAGACAATATGCTATCTCATCACAGCCTGCAAAATTAACTGCTATCCAAGAAAAAAAAAAAGTAAATAGAAATAACAGAAGACTCAAGCATACTTGATAATTCTTCTCTCTTTAAGAGATTACTTTAATACAGATTTATAGGAATAAAGTTTGAGTAGCACTGAGCAAAGTATTTCAAGAAAAAGGAATGAAGCCAAGTTAAATACAGAATTGGGGTGAACAGTTGTGGCAGATAAGCCTTTATGTGCAGAGCTCTCTTTCTGTCGCAGAATTTGAAACTCTGGTCTCCAAGCTTTTGGGAGATGATTCTGGTCTCTCCTTTAACCTTTCCACAATGCAAGTGCTGGAATTATTTAATGTAGTCATCAAAACCAAGGTGAGTAGTCAAGTCCGTATGAAGAAAATCCAGTAGAAGACAACTGTTCAACATGACAGCAGTCACATATGTGAAACTGGATCTATTTTAACAATTGGTAGCTAGTTGTGGCTACTTGTTTTAAGAACATCAGTAAGTTATCCTAAGAATAAGCTCTAGTGGTCTCACATTGTTAGATTTTGATAACTCAGAGGCTTTCCTCACTTCAGAATGCTCAAATACCACTTACATAGATTCCTATAAGATTCCTGAAAAGAACTCAGTTAATCAAAGCAGCAGAAATTGAACACTGATGATGACAGTTTTACAAGGAGAAAAATACAAATTTTCAGAAGAGGAAGAAGAAAAGGATCAGTTACGGCATTACAGCAATAAATTCTGTTTCTCCTGTGTGCTTGAGCCATCCTACAGAACTGTGACAGAACTTACTTAATGGTGTAGATTTAGCCTGGCTACAGGCAAATACACTTCAGATTAAGTTCTGAATAACAGAAAGATTTTGAAAATCCTAAACTGCTTAGTTTTCATCAAACTAGTCAAAAGTTGCGTTCTGAATCAGAACATTACATTCACTGTGTAGCTGGCAATACAAAGACACATCTTGCCTTCTAGTACAAAAAGACTTTGGGGATAACATTAGAAGGAGTGAAGCTAACAGCTGTAACAAGATATTCTCTCTGCAACTCTAACCATAAAGTCAAAAGCAGTAACTGAGGTTTCTTGTTCTGAAAAGAAATAATGTTTCATTGTTTAAAACATGAGGGGAAAATAAGAAATTGTATTTTCCATGATCTTGAAGAAGAATTTTTACCTATTCAAAAAAAAAACAATGTGAAGAAATAAAGCTTTAGCTACTTAGTCTGTAATAGTGCAGGCTTACTTGTGGAAAAGCAAGAATTCTGAGTAATTTTTGTTATGGCTTCTTTTAACTCTTTTCTCTTAGTCTAAGCATTTCAAAGACCTTTTTACATTCGAAGATGACAAGAATCATGATACACAGAAACATCACTTACCCACAATAACAAATCCATCTGCTTCTCTCTCTTGCACTGTAATTTTCTTTGAATCTTGACCTTTTCGGAAGAAGCTGAACATAGTCTCTTTTTCTCTTCTTCTAGCTTGTTATCTAAAATGAAGACAATTTATGTTAAATACAAGACAGTAGAATTTAGCATAAAAAGTTCATACCACCCCAAATACCAAATACATGATATTACAGCTAGATCTTTATTACCAGATTTGAAATATCAGGCATTAGCACATCAGAGTTCCTTGTTGGTACAGCAATTCACTTCAATAGGCAAAAAGGGTTTTTTGTGAAGAATGGAATAAAACCATTTAAAACAGACAAATAACTTATCTTTCTAATGGAAAATGAAAGAAGAGAACTCTCTTTAGCATTTATTAAACACCTTTCCATATTCTTTTGCATTTTTGAATTGTTGTTACACAAATTTTCCTACCAGAGTTGGTTCTCAAGGTTTTAAAACCTAATGCACAAAACATGATCCTACAGGAAAAGTAGTTCTATAAAGTAGCAGTACTTGAATGAAGCAAATTACACTATATTAAGAGTCTGTGCATCAATTATAAAAGCGCAAATAAAAAATAAAAACATATACAATAATAGCATAGCATCCATTTTCATTTTTCCAGTTCATACCCTTACATACAGCTTAATACTTGGGAATATTCCCGTAAAAGAAACCACAATACAATCAAGCAGCTTCATAACAATAAGCCATTCTGATGATAAGAACCTTCCAAACAGACTGTAACTACAACTTCACATGAGCTGGAACAAAACAGGTAAAGCATAACATTAATGGGATAATTGCAGCTGTAAATGATTGTGCTCAGTATCTCTCTCAGGAAAGAAAGATTTGAAGCAATTTTAATAGCTTAAAGAGGACAAACTCATCTGGAAAAGCCTCACAAGCATTAGTCAAAAGCTAGCCAGATGGGCCAGCCATGAAGCACAGTGTATATTTGGATTAACCAAAAAACATCCTACATAAATTATCTAATTATTCTGAACATTTAAGATGTAGGATCATTCCTTAAAATAAATAAATAGAACAAAAAGTTATAAGAAAAGCTTCATTAGCAAGTCCCTCTCTAGCAAAAACTGAACAACAGAACCAACATTAAGTATGTATTTACAGGTTTGGCTTATTTAGTGGACTATCAGTACAGCATCACTTTGTTTTCTACACAACATACACTACCAAACACAAAAACGAACTCTCACTGCCTCCTCCAGCAACAGCAGCTCCCATCTATAGAGCTGTTGCAATGGAAGAGGAAAGCAGCACCAGCCCAACATCTGCTTACCTCCAGTTCCCTGAGAAGTGCCCGAGTGCCAAAGTGGCACCCTGGGCAATGCCGAGCCACACAGCAGTGTGTGAATGGACTGGCTATGAAGTGTTGCATCAAATAGAAGTGAAAGTAAAGAGAGGTGCATAAAGCTTTTCGCTACTGAAATACCAATACAAAATTGGTAAAGTCAAACAATGCAATTTTGAATCCAAAGCAGAGTTTGAGGAATTGAATCCTGACTTATTTTGAAGATATGCTCAGAGAAGGGGCTGACAATCCAATAGCAATATGTAAATCCTAATATATACACCCAGGAAGAGTCAAGTCTAAAGAAAAGAGCTATACTCTAGTGATAATATTATTTTACGCTAAATGTAAATAAAAAAGTGAAATTATGAGTGAAATACAGGAAACTACAATGGTAACATTTATATTTTAAAATAATTTTAAAAAAGGATTAATTATTTGCCCAAATTACTCCCTTCCCACCCAAGTATTTGTGACCCCATAAGCAAGACTCGTTGTGCCCTACCCAGTGACCTACAGTAATTTTCTTCACAACCATCCCTGACTATTCACCACGTATGAACTGGCCCCCGCTCTGCTGTTACAAGCATATCAAATCCTTCCACAGAGCAGAGCATACAGAGTCTTTTATGAAACATAAGCATTGGCTTTCAACAACGGTATATAAATAGAACGTGGTCAAAACCAGCAATGATTCAAAGCGTGGAGTGATACCTCTGAATGAAACTCAGAGCAGCCTAGAGGCCGGCCAGCTACTGCTGGCTTATGCTGACGCAGTGGAATTTCTATCAGTCAAATAAACCACACTGGTGCATGCAAGAACACCCCAAGCCAACCAGCCTCAGGTATGCAGCCATACAAAAAATGAATGTTACTTATGTGCACTTTATTCTTCTGTGTGCGTTTCCTTATCTTAGTGTGTGAAATACTGGCATTCCAGTCCAATGGAGATTACACAGCAGAATTTGCACCCCCTAATTGCCTCCTTTCCCCCACACCCAGGCTCAACACATGGCGCCAGCAGCATGTTCCTTTTTTTGGCCCTTAGGGAATAAGTCTTCTCCTGCTACCAATTAGGGCCGTCAGCCCCATAGCTCAAGCGGTAAAAACCTGTGCTGCAATGCTCAGGAGTCAGATTTCTGCTCCAGTGATGTATGAAGGAGAGGCAGTTGTGGAACAGTTTTAAAACGCAATTTTACCTTCTTCCCAAGCACACAACAACAAGAAGTGAAATCTACTCGATGTGTAAAATCTCACAGGTAGCTTTGGTAGACGCTCCGATTGCAGGCAGCCACTCCAAGGTGCCAGAGGCGCAGTTGCTGCATTCCCTTCTTTTTCCTCTCTGATATCTGCATTATTTTACAGTTTTCAGTTCTTCAAAACAGTGATCTCCTTTCACTATTACTCACACAATGTAAAGCATCTTACTAAGTGCATACATCTACACAATAGTGTTGTGCAGGAAAATATGAGCTTATCAGCTTTTAAACTCTGCACACATAAACATCAGTGCTTTAAAACAAACAAACAAGACTGGAGGCATTTCAATTCAGAGAAAATGAGCAGTAACTACAATTTTATATAGCCAAATTAGCTTTACAAGCACTTTCACAGCCTGGATTTTTTCCCCTGGCGCTGACAGAAGGCAAACCTTTTCTGAGTATCCCATTTTTTGTTTCAGGTAAACCTGTAATGCCCTCAGGTCTGCACCAACGACTTCCCTTTTTTCAGCCTCTATCCTCAACACAAAGATTAACTTTAAATAAAAGCTTAAAAAAAAGAAAGAAAGAAAGAAAGAAAGAAAGAAGAGACAAAAAGCAGAGGCATATAAAGTGAGGCATATATATAGGAAAAAGATGGGCAGCACTGCGATATCCGCGATCTTTGCTCTCTTCAGAATTTTATCAACTGTGGTACTTCAAAAGCGAACATAAATCTCTCCAGCAATATGAAACGCAGACGTGAAGTTTCCTGAATTACATGTTAAAAACAGAACAAAGAAACACTGAGCTGAATGAAAACACGCACGTGTTCTTGAAGATAAGAGCACAGTTTAAGCACTTGCAGAGTCAGGCTGAGTCTTACTACTTGTAGATAAGATGAGGCTTCATTTCACAAAAGCTGAGAACAACCAATTTCAGCACAAATTTAATTTCAGAGTAAAAAAAAAAATCACGTTTGATGTTTGGGAATTTGGATGTGTGGTCACATGAATTAGAGAGAAAAACACATGACATCTTTGCTTTTAAAAAGCTATCAGCACAAAATCAGAGACAACACACCCACTATTCAGAGAGTGCCACATTCCTTGCAGTAATGCCTCCAGTATAGCACACCACTTTCCTTTCCAGATGGGTTTAATTTTATTTCTATAGGAAACCTGAAAATTAAATTCACTGCCTAGAGATAAAAATCTCCCTTGGAGGGAATATGCAATTCCCTTCTCCTCATGTTTCTCCCTCCACAGAAAAGGGGACATAATTTTTCCTTTCTCCAGTCTCAATTGTTGGTAGTTAAAAAAATAACTCTTTTGGCACTGCTTCAGTCATTAGCAAGTAATAAACTGTGAACTACAGCAATTCTGTGAGATTGTAAGAAATATTTTGTCTTTATGTGAGGCTCTGAGATCAAGCACGGCACTGGGCAATGATGAGTTACAGAGCTGCACGCTGGGGTTAATGTATTCCTGGTGCACTTTGTCAGTCTACTTTGACAAGAGATATGGGAGACCTTTGAGCCAAACCAATACATTACATCCAATAGGATTTTTGTATATGTAAGGATCCTAACCTATTTAGCACTACTTTTTAGCATTTTCCTGCATGTTCACAAGTAACATGAGAAGAAAGATAATTTAATGATTAAAAAAAAACAAACGCTTGGGAATACAGCAAAGCAAAACTGTGATGAAAATACTGGTACTTAGATAAATGATGAATGAGGTCAGAAAAGATACAAAGACTGATTTCAAAGAAAGAACCAGAATAATTTCAAATCCAGCTGCCTAAGCTGTAGAACCAACAGAAAGAGAAAACAAGAAGGCATCAGAGAAGTTCTCTCATCTATATGAGCATTTGCTGTGATTGACCACTAAATTAGCAACAAGAAAATGAGCAACGTGTTCACAGCCCTGTATAACATGAAACCAACTAATCCAGAGTCAAGAATGCACATGTTAAAAAGATTTCCCTGTGACATTAAAAGAATTTAAAATCTTCTGGCCCAATAAAGGTTTGTGCAAGAAGAGAAGAAGAAAAAAAAAGCCACAATAAATCATTTCTTTACCTGCTACTAACTCTAGTCACACTCCTTTTGTTTATGGATTTCATGAAGACAGGTGTCAAGAGAAACACAAATACAGAAATGGGATATACATTTCCTAACATGCTGAAAAAGACATTATATATATATTTATTGACATAGTTCTAACAGAGGAATTATGTGAATTTCTCAATGCCAATGCAACCTCAGCAACCCTCATATAAAAACACACAAGGAATTGTGGAATCACAAACAACCACCACGATTAAGATGACAAACAGAAATCAGTGGTGAACTAGGTATAATCAGATTGCTGGCAACAATCAAAACACTCAGGAAAGCAGCAGATAACACAGAAAGCCAGGCTTTCATCAGATGCAATGCCTAACTTCCTGAAAGGCAACATCTTTCTCTGCAAACTCTAACAGCAAACTTCCATTGGCAACTGAGGGCAACAGAGATGTAATGCTACTGATAACCGTGCATAAGGTCACACTGATGCTCCAACCGGACACAACAGCCCCAGGAGCAGCGCTGCCGCGCCCTGTGCTACCTTCGTGAGACGTCTCCTTCACAGCTCTGTAGAGATGCTGACGTGACAAGAACCTCTGGCAGTATTAACCGCCGAGAGGTGAGCAGCTGAGCGACCCTGAGAAGATGACAGCACTGAGGACGGCGCTTTGGGAAAGGAAATTAGAAGGACGTTCTACACACCGAAGACATTCCCAGAGCACAGCCCGCCACGGCAGCGGTGCACGGGGGGAGCCCTGGCGCCAACTCTGCCTCGCGTCAGTCAGTCGTTCAGTCAGTCGGCGCCGCACAGCACGCCGTTCCCCGGGACAAGGAGAAGCGGTGTGATTGCGCAGCGCTCGGGCAGAGCAGCGGGACAGGCACGCGGCGCGCATGCTCCCTGCAAAGCGAGCGGAGGGCTGCCGGCGGGGGAGCGGGAAACAGAAAGGGGTCAGGCGACAGCGCGGACATCGACAAGAACTGTAAGGCTCGGGCCGCGGCGAGCAGGCCACCGGGAGGACGAACAGCCCCACAGCTTCCCTACCGCCTTCCCCAGGGCTCGGCCCTTTTCCCGCCGCCGCCTCCCCGCTACCGTCACCGCCTCAGCCCTCAGTCACCCACCAGCCCGCCGCCGCCGCTCGTCGCTTCCGGCTCCGTGAGGCGACGCCGCCGCCCTCACCCCCCCCCAGCTTCAGGAGACGGCCGCGGCGCGCTCCCATGACGTCATAGCAAAGCGCCGAGCCGATTGGCTGGCGGCGGGAAAGCCCCGCCCCGCCGCCGTCCCGTTGCCAAGGTTAACGGAGGGCGACTCCGGCGCAGCGCGGGAAGGACGCCGGCGCCATGGGCGACGTGCACGAGGCGCCGCGGCCGCGCATCGCCGCCGCGCAGCTGGCGCAGCACATCGGGCGGCCCGTCTGCTTCGTGGGGCGCGTCGAGAAGGTCCGTACGCAGCCTTTCCCTCTCCCCCGCCCTCGGAGGCTCTCGGGAAGCGCCGCTGCCCCTCCGCCGTCGGTGCGGCCTTGCCCGGGGCTGCAGCCTCCCCGCGGGCCGAGGCCCGTCCGCCCGCTCTCCTTTCGGCCGCTGCTGAGCGCACGGCGTCGTTTGTTTTGTAGATTCACCCGACGGGGAAACTTATAGTTCTGTCGGACGGGGAAGGCTGCAACGCGACGGTGGAGCTGAGCGAACCTGTAAGTAAGCGACTGCGTTGTTGGGAATTTTTGGCTGCTGTGCAGACAGGCTTCGTTCCCCCCTTCCAGACACATCCCTGGTTGGCTACTAAGGCTTGCCCTGTTCGCTGCTTGTAGCGTGGTGTCTTTTGCTACGTGTCTTATCTTACTTTTCCTTTCACTTTTTTCCTTCATCACTTTACTGACCGTTTTCCTGCCCCTAACAGAATGCTTCATAGAATCATAGAATGGCCTGGGTTGAAAAAGACCTCAAAGATCATCTCGTTTCCACCCCCCTGCTATGTGCAGGGTCACCAACCACCAGACCAGGCTGCCTAGAGCCATATCCAGCCTGGTCTTGAATGCCTCCAGGGATGGGGCATCCACAGCCTCCTTGGGCAACCTGTTCCAGTGTGTCACCACCCTAACCATCCTATGGTTTGTGAGACTGATCCAAAAAAAACCCTTAAGAATATGTTGTTTTTAAGAGTCCATTAAATGGATATTTCATGTGCAGCAACCCTGCTTCCTTTGTAACCAAGTACCAGTAAAGGAGTAACTCCCAGGCATTCTCTCTCTCTTTTTTTTTTTTTTTTTTTTGCTTTGTTTTGTTTTTTTTGCCTCTGAGGTATGTTGTAATTAAAGGATTACTGTAGTTGTGACACCTCCTGATGACAAATGCTATAGTTTATTTGAGGGTGGCAGCAGTGTTTCCATCTTTTCCTCTGAATGAGTTGTTAAATACAGGCAAGTCTGACTGCATTGCTGTGAAATAATTGCACTGATACTCTGACTTATAAGAACTGAGTCTCATTCGTGTAAAATGCAATCTGGAGAAGAGTTTGGTCTTATAAATATGAAACAGTGTTCATCTCCAAACTGCAAGAAAATGTCTTTCCTGCAGGTACTTCCCTGTATCTTAATCACAGAATCACAGAATCACAGAATTGCCAGGGTTGGAAGGGACCTCAAGGATCATGAATCTCCAACCCCCCTGCCACATGCAGGGCCACCACCATTCCACCTAATGCTAGACTCTTACTTGAGCTCCTGAAAAGGTTTCCAGTGTTGAGCTGTTGCAACTTTGGACGTCAGTATCTCACCAATGATTCTCTGACTTTCCATGATAGAGTAAATAGGTGAATGTCATAAATGCATAGCTGGATGCTGGGCATTTCAGTCTGTGCTGTGTAAGTGTAAAAGGAAGAAACAGGTGTGCTTAGAAAGATCATGCAAGAGTCAGACACTGGAAGGGTATTACTGAAATACTACCACAGTCTTCAAATGAATATACTAAAATCAAAGAGGAAAAGAGAACAAATGATTTTAGGGTAAGATAAAAATTTTTAGCCTTATTTTTTTCCTTATTCAACCAAAGGCTTATTACCTAAGAAATAAATAATTTTGGATGATACCTCCTGAATCTAGAATTACTGGCACTGGTCTCTGGCACGGATGATAATTCCTTCTCTTTTATAGACTTCTATAATTTACAAAGTTTTGAGTGCAGTTCATTCAAATCTGGATTTTAATTGTCTCTGTTGCCCTAGATCAATCTGTTCAGTGTTTAAATGGTACCGTTTCATACACCCTCAAAGTTCTATTTTCCCTCTGCTGTTGCTTTATATCTTTTCTGTGTAGGTACTGAATTGCCTTTACAAAAACTGCAAATCTGTAAGAGGTGCAAAGCTTTTGATTTTTATTTTTTTTTTCCTGTTGTCTCTTACTTCCTCCCCCCCCCCCCAGTACTAATGTATGGCTTGACATAGAACAGAATCAGTTATAATAAACAAACCTTCAGAGAGTGGTTGGAGTGCTGTGCAGTGGAAATAGCAGCTAATTTGGTGATGCTAATTTCATTTCTGGTACGTTCTGCAGCTAGATGAAGAGATCTCGGGAATTCTTGAAGTGGTGGGAAGAGTAACAAATCAGGCAACCATCATGTGCATGTCATATGTCCAGTTCAGGGAGGATAAAAGTCCATTTGGTAAGTAAGGATACATTTATAGCAAATTAATTTTGTGTCCTGAACACTTATGCAGTAAATAAGGAGAGCACCATTATCCCTTCCTGCAGAGAGGATCATTCTTCAAGCTGCCTGATATGGTGCAGAATATATAGACAGACAATGACATTAGGAAATACTGTGTACTGAATCCATTATTTTACTGCCAAACTGTAGGGACTGATCCAAGGCCTGAACTGATCTAGGCCATTGCCATAGGCCTGATTGTTTCCCCAGTCCCAGCTACACAGTTTTTTGTCCTCCCCATCCTGTGTGGGATCTTGTGTGATGTCCAGTTATTAGTAGGCCTAAAAATAATCCCTCAAAAAGAAAGCAAGAAGAATATGGCAGGCTTGGGAAATTGGAGAGCACATAGGGGATGGAGAACACTCAACTGTATTACTTTAAAATTGGCTGTGCTTTAATGCTGCAATTTACTAGTGGGGAATTGAAGTTAAGCTTTTCCTTTTTTTGCCCTCTTTCAGATCTGGAACTCTACAATGAAGCACTGAAAATTATTCATGAATTCCCTGAATACTTTCCCTTTGGTACTGGGAGGAACAATTAATTATTTTTAGAGCTTCAGGTGTGCAATATTTCCTTGGCTGTCTTGACTGACAGCAGGGTAAGAGTTGCATTAGTTTCCAACAAATATACTAAGAAGATGCTATTACACGTGCCACGTGTGGCCAGTGAAATATATTTTCTTAGAAACTTTTCTTTGAATTAGCTTAGCAAGAAGCAGAACATTTCTGTGGCTATCTTACTGTCTGTATATATTTAACCCTTCTGCATTCATGAGGAATGCTCTCTTGCAGGATTTGACTTGCTAGAAATTGACGTTTTGTAGACGTCTTTTCCACTGTCCACAGAGGTCCCAGGATACTTAACAAAAAACTCATACTGAAGATGTTTGGTAGGGTTTTAATGTAAAGATATTTTAAAATTTCTTTTGATATAAATTTATTGAATGTGGTGGGGAAAGATTTATTTTGCATCTTGATAATGGTCACTTCTCCAATAAATATGACTACGTTCAATTACTTGTGGTAGTATTATATCTATCTAGTGCTATTTCCAATGATACATGGTGATTCCTATTCCATTTTATCTAACACAAGTCATTTAATTTTAACAATATGGAGCACAAGGTATTTGTCTTTTGCACTGATGTTAAACAGTTGAGAGATTTAAATGTCTGATTAGGCTAGGTAACTCAATCATGCTTGAAATCCCCATCACAATCTTCATTCTTGGTGGGGGTCAAGGCAGAAGTACCAGGACACTGCTGGAATGTTACGATGATTTTACTCAGATAATATTCCCCACAGTCCAGGGGGAATCTTATTCTGTTATAATCCAGGCTATTTAACATCACATGGCAGAACTCTTACACCTCTTCACATAACACAGACTTAAATCTAACTTCTGAAATATCTTCTGTGAATTAATAAAACAGTTAGAAAGCATTTAAAATTTTTTTGTGTGTGATTCCATGTTCACTAGCCTTTTCTGGTTGCAGTTTTTATAGCTGGATTAATATCTTATTCAGATTGCTAGTACTGTACTTATTTTTATGAATATCTCCATTTTTAATGAAAGAATTTGTTTTAAAGCGTCCTTATTTACCAACATTACCACAAACTACAGCACTGCTCTGATTGTTACAGATCATAAGTGAATTAGTTCTTCCACTTGAGTGGCCGAGCAGGTTAATCAGGTGCTCTATTTTCTTCCCTCTCTGCTTAGAAGCTGGACAGTGACAGGAGAGGAGGGAGAAGGACCTGAGAAGTATGAGTCAGTCTCGTACTGTAAACCTGAACAAGAAGGTCCCTATGGCATGATACCATACTCTGCTTTATAAACTATTACCGCTTTATATACTATTACTACTGTATTTTAGCAAATAATAATCAAAATTAAATGTCATTGCCAACAACTACAATCTTGTTTTACTGGCATTTAACTCTAGAATTATTCTACCTTAGAAAAAAATCTATTTTGTGCATGTATATATATTGTAAAACATTACATGCAAATAGTTCTTTACAAGGTTATCTAAGCCCAATAAAATGGATTCCACCACTAGATGGCTATAGCACTTTACCCCGACAGAGATTATCCTTGTATATAGGAACTTGTGTGTTAAATATTTGATCACATCTAAGTGGTAAATGCTAGTTTTCCCATGTCTGCCAAGACTTCTATCCCAGTGCAATGATACTCAGAACAAGCAGCATCAAACTGACTGTGTGGCTTATACTAATAAGGAACTGTAACCTATTCTTGCTATGAAAGAAAAAGTAACGCTCAGGTTCTGTGTGTACTTAAGAGGGCAACAACTAGGGGAAGTGCAAGACATTTCACATATCAAAGAAATAACCATAGGGACTGCATTGCTTCCCCCCCATTTAGAATTTCACTAACTCAGTAAACGTGTGAGAAACTGCCAGGGCTTAGAAACAATAAAGAGAAACATGGGCTTAGTGGGTAACTCATGAAAGGGGAACCACAAGGGCAACCAAACCATAAACACCAAGGGAGA